GACTATGATATAAGGTTGTCAAATATCTCCCTTCCGCCTTTTTGTATGTAACCAAGAGCAAAAAAGCGTGTTCATTAGTTTTTAATGAAATTTTCATTTTCGTCGTTAACAAAGTTGCTAAATATTAATTCATATTCATTAAAACTATTATAGGAGTATTCTGATCTATAAATTAATTTTAGAAAAAATCGTTTTGTTTTTTCTTCAAAGTTTATCTATTCAATAATATGTCTACAAGAGAATTTTCCAAAATTTAAATTAATTTCATTTTGACGACAATAATACTCCTCTGTCTACTTTCTACCCACAATTTCCCAACTTCTACTGAATCGATTTACTTGAAATTTTCACTGAGTTTTCACCAGTATGAGCTATGCTCATCATCAACTTTGTGTCAAAAACAAATATTTTTTTTTCAGACAGTCGCTATTTTGTGAAAAAAACATTTTTTTTCAACTTGTCCGTAGTTCATACAATTGCAACATTATTCTAGATTATTAATACATATATTTTTAAGATTATTTGGAGAGCTGAAATCATGGGTATGGTCAGGAGTCAATTTTTTGAGCTCACCCATATCATTCTCCAGAAATAAAACTTCATTTTTTAACTTCATACTAAATTTTAAAAACATTAATTAAAAATGTGTAAAAATACCAGACTAGAACACCCCCTTAAGCAGGATGTTCATATAGGTACATTTTCTTATATCTATTTCTACGTAAAATTATAGTCTATTTCCAGAACCAGAACAGAACACTTCAGTTATAAGATGATTAGTAATCAGTAATGTTATTACAGGGGCAGTTAAACCTACTGCTTGTCATTAATGTTTAATAGGCATTTGAGATGTATGTTAGATCCATATATGCCTTCAAGCTTGATGTGCCCTTTAGGGACAATCGGTATAATTCATCTGAAATCTATATTACGATTTAATATATTTATTGGGTTGAGCATGTTTAGTTAAATAGATAACCAAGATTTACTCTCAGAATAAGGCAAACTTTGCCATTTTAATACACATTCTTAATGTTCCAACCTTAGGTTTGAATTATACTCGTTTGCGTTGGACGACTTGATATTAATGATATAATTTGTGAAATTGAATGCTACGTAGAAGGTCATTATAATCGTTACTAATATTATATAAAAATACTCAATAACTATATTACATACAATTATTACTGAACCTATATATTTTTGCATTTTCAATAATGAAATATTTAATTTTAATTAAAGATTGTGGAATTAAATTGATGTTCTGGTATTCTTTGTATAATAATATAGATCTAATCAATGATTACATTAATTTACACATGAAAAAATTCTATCAACTCTTAAGATTAATATCATGTTACTAACTTCAGCCAATGATATATATATTATTACCAATAATGAGTTTTTATAATGAAGGTAATATATGAAAATTTCCTCACTATACCATAGTAATCCATCTGCCGACAATATTATATCATATTACAAACTCTTAATTAAAAGAAGCAATATACGTGATAAAAGAAATTAAAGTGCAACGCCGCGAGAAAGGCTTAAGACCCAAAGAAGCCCTGATGAAAATAATAGGGGACAACAGTTCAGTTTAATTCCTAAGAATCGGAAAGACGAAAATCCCATTATTAGATGTACTTGCTTGAATTAAGTTCAGCAATGTACTAGGAAGAATTAAATTAATATTTTTTTGAATTTGGGAAATAGATAATAAATTCAAATCAAGTCCGAATCAATTCAAGTATCTGTTTTATAGAGTCAGAGTAACAAATGTTTTTTTTTTAAATAATGCAACAAATAATATTTACACCATAATTAGTAAATTTCAACATGTTCTAGTATGTTTTGATAGTACGATTTGTGTATTAGTAAAATTATTTTAAACAAATAT